CCCCCCCCCCTCCCCCCCGCCGCCCCCCGCCCCCCGCCCCCCGCTCCGGCCGACGCGCGGCCATCGGATACGCGTGCAGCCCAGCTCTCCCGAGCGCAGCAGATGCCGTCTGCCGGCGGTCGCTCAGGTCAACATTGCACATGTCAGACGGGTTGCCGCCGGGGGGTGCTGACATCGAAATTATGCTTTGCCAGGCAGCGGTGCTCCTGGAGGCTAGGAGCACGCGCGCGAGGGGCCCGGGGAGAGAGGGGGCCGCCCCGTCCACCCGTCCGCGCATTCATACACACACATACGGACACACCTTCATCACCCTTGGTGCGAAGAATACAGGCAAATGATGCGAGCGGCCGCGCGCCGCATGTGTCCATATGGGGGTGGGGGTGCCGCGAGCGGGCGAGTGTCGGCGCGCGTCGCCGAAGTGGGGATTAACGAGATCGCGTTGCAAGACAGCCGCAGATCCGCTGCGTGCGGTCACCCGGGACCCGCGCCCCGGGGCATCATCGCGCGCGGCCGACCGCGGGAAAGTCCGAGGGCCCCCCGGGGGGGGGGGGGGCCGGGAATTTCCCAGCCGGGGCTGGGGATTCTCCCGGGGAGGCCCCGTAGAGAGAGGCGGAGCCGCCGAGCAGGGGGAGCAACGGGCAGACAGGGACTTCCAGCCCCCGGCGCAGTCGCGGGGCCCCCATATGCTGTCTGTCCCCTGTGCCGGCGCGAAGGCCGGGAACCGCCGCGGCCTGGCCTGGCTGCCGCCTCGGTGGCCATCGCGCGGCAGTTGGCGGCCGGACACCCAGGCGGTTGCTCGGGAGTTACTGCTTCGGGGCCCGGGCGAGTGCAGGGGGGGAAACGCCCCCCAAGGGCCGCCGGCGGCCAGTTCTCCCGGGGGTCCGATCCTCTGACTAGCGCCCCCCCCCCCCCTCCTCACACACACCATCCATCTCCGCACAATATACACACACTTAAGACGCACTCACACACACACACACACACACACACACACACACACACATATATATATATATAGATAGATAGATAGATGTATATTTACACACAACACGAGCAGATACATACAACAGCCCCCGAGTGATTCCGCCGAAGCGCGCCCCTGCCAGGCGCCGCACGGGCTGGCTGTTTTTCCCCGGCGTTTCCGCCGGCCCCTTGTCATTTTTCCCACCAGCAGGGGCAGCGGCCCGGCCTAAGGGGCCCCGGAGGGTGCGCGGCCCCACCGGAGCAGTGCGCGTGTGAAAGCACGCCCTTGGGAGCCGCGAGGCCGAGTGAAACGGCGCCCGGCGTGCCGTTCCCCCAGGCCGGAGCACACGGGCCGGGAGGACGGGGATTAAGGCTGCACTGCGAGGTGCGGGCCGGAAGGGACGCGGGCCATTGTGGGCAGCTCGCTGACAACCGCCCGGGCGCGGTGCCCATTCCGTGGGGCGGGGGGAGGGGCCGGTCGGGCGCCATCGCCGACGGAAGGGGTGCCGGGCCGCGCGGTGCCCGCGGTGCCTGTGCCACGACGGAGAGCCGGGCGCGTCAAGATGCGCCCCGGGCGGCATCCGGCTGGCGTGGCCGGGCCCTGGGCCGGACGGACCGGGGCCGCGGGCCGGCCCCGGCCAATGCGCCACGACGGAAGGCAGTGAAACTGGCACACCCGACGGCGGGCGCCCGCGCCATGGCGGGTTTTGGGCCAGAATCACCGCAACCGGCCGGCCGGGCTCCCGGCGCCGTGCGGGGGGACATGCCCGGGAAAAGGGCCCGGCCCGGGAACGGCCGGCGCCCTCGCGCCCGCCCGGGGGCCCCGCCAGCCTCCCCCCCCGGGCGGAGTGTAAACAAAGGCCCGGGGGATCTGGGCCGCCCGCCCGCCCGCCCACCCAAACACGCCCGCCCGGAACCGGCCGCGCCGACAGCGCGCCCGACCAAAAAGGACCCGGCCGACCGGCAGGGGAGTGGGCGCGTCCGGAATACCGCCCCCCCCCGCGTGGCGCGTGTGGACCACCGTGCGAGGGAAGAAGGGAAGGCCCGGGACGGGATTCGCCCGCTCTGGCACCTCGCTCGGGCGGCCGTCGCCGTCGCCGCCGGCCGCGGCCACCCGGACGCCCCGGCGGTATTCGCCCCGGGCCGCTGGGCGGTGTCACGGCGCGGCAGGCCGGCTGGCCTGTGTGCGCGAGCGCATGTGCCTGCGCGCGTGTGTGTTGTGTGTGCGCGCGTCGCCCAGCCCCACACAGCTGTCCTCGGCCCCGGCCCGAGGAGCGCCCGGCCGGGGTGACACAAGTCCCGGAGGGCGGGTACGTGCGCGCGGCGGGCCGGGCCGGGCCTGTGCGTCGGTCGCCCAGCCCCCGCCCGGCCCATGCCCCCCGGGCGTTTCCCGGAAGCCCGGCCAGCCCTCCCGGGCCCGGGCGCAACGGCGTCCCGTCGATGTGCGATGACCATACCGCCGCCCCGGCTCTGCCTCTTTCCCCCTCGAGACTTCGGGGGGGGGGGGGACCAGTGGCAGGGGCCCGCCTTCGCCGCCTGCCACAGCACCGCCCCTAGCAATATGAGCTCCCACGCGCCGCCGGCAACCCGGCCCTGCCTGCCCCCTCCGAGCCTGGAGGGGGGCGGGGGATGGCACCCCAACCAAAGCCAGGGATGATCTCCACAGAGAAGCCCCGGTGTGGTGCGTGCGCGTGCGCGCCCCCGGCCCCCCTCGCCCGGGCCCGCATGCGCACGCAACACACGGAGGGTGGTGGTCTGGCGTGTCACCCGGCCGGCGTGCCGCCGTGTCTGCCCTGGCATGTGTAACAGTAGGCAGCTGCTAGCCGGCTGCCGGGGCCGGCCCCGCGTCCCACGCCCCCCGCAGGCGGCGTTTGCCCGCCGGTCCCCGTCGCGATATGTGCCCCCCGCCGCGCGGCGTCTCGCGTATGGCCGGTGCTCCGCCCCCCCCCCCCCCCCCCGCAGCCCCCGCCGTTTGCCGCCCGGCCCCCTCCCGCCCCGGGGGTCCGATATGCGGAAGCAATAACACGGGCGGGCGCCACACATAAGAGCGAGGGCCGGCCCGGCCGGCACTTCGACATATTGGAAGAAACGGCCCCTGGGGCCACACGACCCTCAGGACAGAGGGAGAGAGAAGCCCTTCCGCGAAGGCGCGGCCCGCCCTCGGCCTCCCCCGGGGACATATGGCAAACGGCCGGCCCGGCTGGCGCTGGTGGCCGCCTTGGCTCCCTCCGCGAGGGAGGGGCCGGCGGGCCGGGCGTCAGTGCCTCCTGGCAATATGCCGGCATATTGCTCCCACCCCCCCCCCGCCCCGCACTTTTGCTGGCTACACGGCCCGGCCCCGCCCCCTCCCAACAAAGTGGCAGTGTTGGCGGGCCCCGGGGCCGGGCGCCTCACTGCACCCAGCCCTTGATGAGGGCGTTTTTGCGCACGGGTCCCCCCGCCGGGGCGCCCCGGCCCCGGCCTGCCTGCTTGGGACCCCTGGCCGGTAGCCAGCATATGCAGGGACTCGGGATAAAGGGGCGCCGACGGCAACGGGCGCCGCGCGACGACCGAGGCGGCAGGCGGCCCGGATCCGGCGCTGGCGACACAGGCGACGCCGGGCCCCGTCGACCATGCGGCCAGGCGTCGGGCGACGCGGCGAGGCAGGGGCGCGAGCGACTGAAACAGCCCTCGCGCCCGTGCGTGCCCCCGGCCCCTCTTCCCCCCCCCCCGGGGGGGGGGGGGCGAGGACGCCAGGCGAGGGGGATGCTCCGCCGCCGTGTGCAAGGGGCCGCGGCAGCCCCGGGGCTGCCGCGGCCCCCAGCCCGGCGGCGATTGTCGAGGGGGGCCCGCGCGGCCGGGCACGGGGCAAGGAGACGGCCGGCCGGCCGGCGACGAGGAGGGGGGACTTCCATGCTCAGGCCGGAGCTGTGTGTTCCGCCCGCCGGCGCCCCTCCGGCACCCCCCCGCTCCCGGGGCTTGTCGCCCGCGTGGGGCGCCATTTCCGCAGCCGGGCCCCAGGCCGAGCGAGAGACACACGAGGCGATGGGCCGGGGGCCGCCGGTTGCGGTCGCCGGCGGCCCCCTCGAGAGGCCGCCCGGCGAGTGCGGCCCCGTGCACGCGGCTCCGGAGGCCACGCCTGGTGGCCCCCCCCCCCCGCCCTCCCTCCTCCCCCGGCCACACACCACCGGGGGGGGCAACCGCCAGGGACAGCGCGTGAAGCGGGCGGCCTGGCCGCACATGAGCCAAGGCAAACGGGGGCCGGGGGCCCGGGCGGCTGCCAAATCCCCCGGGGCCGCCAGAGGCCGGTGGATTTGCCAGCGGGGACACCCTAGCGCAGGGAAACGCCGCAGACAGGCCCGCCGCCCGGCCGCCGGTGTGTCGGCGCCTGACCCTGTGGCGAGACGCCCGACAGGCAGCGCAAATGCGGGTGAAAACCCGTTCCCGCCGTCGGGATTTCGCCACCCAGACCCGACCCGGCTGTGCGTGCGCCAGCGCAGGCAGCCACATATTCTCAAATGAAATTCCTGCCTCGCGGAGAGGTCCACCGCGCGGACAAGGCCCCCCCCCCCCCCCACCCGCCCGGAGCCGGGTGTCACGGCCCTTGGGAACCCGACGCTCCGGCGCGCGCGCGCGCGCAAACGCACCCACAGCACCCGTGTAAGTCCAGGTGCACGCTGGGCCAACGCCAGCGGCGGCTGCCATGCCACCCGGCGGCGCGAGCCGGGCGACAGCGGGCGGCCGACGCGGCCCAGCGCCGGCCGCACCCGCGGCACACAGACTCCGGATTCGGCTGGACGTGCGAGCGCGCGCGTCCGAACGCACGGGGAAACACCGCGCCAGGCCGCCCGCGCGCTTGGGCCCAGTTGTCGTGCGTGTGGTAGACGCCTCCTCAAGTCCGCCCGCCCGCCCGCCCGCCCGCTAGTCCGCCCGCCCCCCATGGGGACGCACCGTGTTGCAGGGGAAAGCACCAGCCCGGGGGCCAACAGCCCAAACAATGGCTCATTGTTGTGACTGGCGCCCAAGGGCGTGTCGCGGGTCCCGGGCAGCATCGGACCCCGGTCGCCCGCGCCATGTCGTGCACGACACCTGGCAAAAGGGGAAAAAAAAACGCCACCCAGCCCGCCCTACGTCTTCGTTTGTGATGCGCCCAGCCCCCGCCCCCGGCAAGAAACACACCAGCCCGCCGGCGGGG